GGCTCTCTGCTGAATGCAAGAGGGAGAGTGAATTTGTAACCCCTCGTCTAAAACGTGTGTGCTGCGGTCCCAGCGGGTCTTGTTCATTTATTAAATCATTTTGTTTGTTTTGTTTCGTTTTTATCTTTTTTGTCTACATTACTCTCCTTCTTCCTCTTTGGAATTTGCTGGAATAACCAGCATCCGGTGTTTTTCTATTTTCCTTTGCTTTCTGCTCCAATGGTTGCTCGCTATACGCACCGTTACGAGTGACGAGTCTATTCCCTCTTGTTTGCCCTTTTTTGTCTGTTGCCCACACACGCGATGGCGGCCGCGCTGCTGTGCGCCGCACGGATGTGGCGCAGCTGCCGGGCGGGAGCGCAGGCCGAAGGCCGCATTGAATGTGCGGGAGGTGCAAATGTGTGGGCTCCTGCAACAGGGCTATGTTTTCCTTTTCTTTTTTTTCTTCGTGCAGGTAGTAAAATATACGCACACACTCTCACAGTCCTCTTGTGCTGTTGGACACGTGAAAGTAAAGAAACACCTGCCGAAGTAATTTTTTTTGTTTGTGTTTCCCCAGAGTCCTGCTGGTCTTCCACCTCTATGTTTTTGGACTAGTTTTTTTGTTTTTGGGATGAATCACCGCGGCTCACTTTGAGTTTGTGCGTCGTGTCCGCCACTGTCGCCGCGTGTCTCCATGACCTGTTTTCCCCACCGCTGCTGGTTGTGTTGCTGTCACGCCGCCATTCCTTTTCCTCCTCCTTCTTCCCGCTAGAGGCACCGGCAGGCACCGGAAGGCAACGACGGCGATGACTCTTTTTTTTTTTTTGTTCCGCGCTGCGGTGGCGCGGGGGTGACGGGGTGTGCGCCCGCTGCGGCGGGAGAGAATAGACGGTGTTTGCGTGGGGCGTGTGTCTCACTGCGAGTGTGCGGAGGGTGCCGTCCATCGCAGCCTGCGGTGCGGTGCGATGCCGATCGGTGAGGGCGAAGCAGCGGCAGACTGTGCGGTGGACTTTGGGCCCGCCCCGTCCCTCTCGCTGCGGCTGTGCGGCTGGCGTCTTCACCGTGTGTCTTTGCCCTCGCACGACGGGAGAAATGCGGCGCCTCGTCTGCTGCTCGTCTGCCGTGTGGCGCCGGCTGCTGCTGCCTCCTTCCGTGGCCGTGAGGGGAAAGTAAGGGGCACGCCGAGAAGGAGAGTGGACTGTGGCTCGCTCTCTTTCCTTGCGGGTGCTGCCTCATTTGTGTCGCTGCGGGTCCAATTCCAGTGCGTGTGAGTGTGGCCGGCGGGGCGGGTGCTCGCGCTGGGTGTCGTTTGCCGGCTGCGAGGTTGTGCAGCCATTTCCTGCGGCTGCGCTCCGCTGCTCTTCTCTGCTCCGTCGTGGGTGACTGCCGGCGCTGCGGGCCATTGTTGCGTGTGCGCGTTCTCCCGCGTGGACGCATTGGGCCGCTGCCGCCTTTTTCTTCCCTCTCTCTGCGCTCGCTCTCCCCGCCGCACTCTTCACTACCTCCACCTCATTCTCTTGTTTATTGCTTTTTTCTCACTGCCCCGCAGCCCACTGCGACTCTACTGCCACTATTTTTACTGATGGCGATGATGCCGACGCTGCGGCGCCGTGCGGTGTGCGCCCTGGCGCTCCTGGCGCTGCTCTGCGGCTTATGCTGCTGCGCCTCCGTCGGCGACACGGCGGCGACTGCGACTGAGGCGACGGTGGAAGTGTCGTGTTCGAACACCGACAAGAAGTTAAGTTGGCGCTTTCCCGGCGAGGCTACTTGGACACCGTGCAGGAGTTTTGAGATGGGGGAACGAAACGTTCACTGTTGGCATTTGTGCAGGGACGCCGAAGAGCAGTTCGAGGAGTGGCGGTGTGCCACGGCGTGTGCTGGAGCCAACGAGAGCGCTGTTGCGTTCACGATGAAATATTCTCTTTTTGAAGGAGAGCGCGGGTTTTGCAGGGAATTGCCGACGTCAAGCACTACCGCCGCCGCCGCCGCTGAGAAGCCAGACATTTGCCGGCGACCGTCCGCGGGGCCGGTGTTGCCGGAAGTCACCGCCGCCGGAAAACCTCCTGGCGGCGGCGGAGCGCAGCCGCCAGCGGCATCTGCAGCGGGCACCCCGGCGGCCGAAGGTGCGGGCAGCGCTGAACACCGCGCAGACGCAGCCGCCACTGTCGAGACGCCCGGAC